TTGTGTTATTGCTATGCTTCGACAAGCAGGAATCCTGTATCCCAACGTGAAGGTTATCTCGAATTTTCTCCAATTTAAAGATGGAATGCTAAACGGATTCCAGGAGCCAATAATCCATACTTTTAATAAAAATGAAACAATGCTGGAAGGGAGTGACTACTACGATTTGGTTCACAATCGAGATCACATCTTACTCATGGGTGATACATTGGCTGATTCTGGTATGGCAGATGGTGTTCCTGCATCGTCCCATGTAATAAAAATTGGCTTCCTCTTTCACCATGTAAGTGTGAATTCTTTCTAAGTGTATAATGAAGATTTAATGTTTTGACCATTCTAGGTTCAGGAAAATATGGAGCAATATATGAACACTTTTGATATTGTTTTAGTTGACGATCAAACAATGGACGTGCCACTAACGCTGTTAAAACTCATCAAAGGAGATCCTCTGTCGTGCGATTAGGCTTGAATTCGTTATCGTATACAATTACCTAATATGTTTTAAAACAACATAACTGACTTGACGAATGAAATTACATAGACGTAATATGTATAATTATCGGCATTATCGTGGATTCCATGTGACCAAATATGCCCGGAAACTATAAAGCAAAACAAAAACCATTTTTACCAATTTATTTTTGTTTTGCCTATTAAATTATGGGACCGATTTATTCGCTGGAATTGGCGATAAGGCTGTAGGTTTCTTTAATCAAGCTCAAATAAAAATATAGATGAAAGTTGCCTTTTTTAAATGGACTTTTTTGGGAAGTGACTTCGCTTCTGCCAAGAGCTAAAATCATCGTTCAGTCTTCTGTCATGACAATAGCAATACATGCACACTTTTTCAGTAATACATGCATACACTTCCATACAAGCGTTTTATACTACGTTTATACGTAAGCTATTTGCAAATAAAAATAATTTGCAAATACCTAAATCACTGTTTATTCGATGGTGAAAAATTCTTTTTTAATATTGCCTGATTATATTAAGGCAATAATATGACCATCTTAAAAGAAAATATAGTTAAAAATGGCAATGTCTTGGTTATAAAAAGTCGATAAAATCATTATCAAAAAAGAAAATAAACCTAAGAATGGCAGCGTCTTGCGCTTATTTGCAAATAGTACCACTAATCAATACTTATTTGCGTGATTTAGTTATTTGCAAATATAAAATTAACTCTGCGTTTATACGGCAAAGTTTACCATTTTGCAAATTGTTATTTGCAAATAATACGTGCGTATAAACGTAGTATTAGACAACTAATACGTATTTCTTTATTGTCTTGACAGTATTGTCCAATGTAAACACGCCGTAAGTAAAAACACTATCAGCTGATTGCTAAAATGTGCCTACAGCTGAGATCACCTGTTTTTTTTTGGCGTTTGCTCATATCTTTTACAATTTCTTTCATTTCTGTTACAATTTATTCAAAATACACTAACACACTGAACCAAAAACACCAATACCCCTGGTAGACAGCTTTACCCGATTCTCCAACACACATATACAATTTTTCAAAAAAAAAACTAATACATATGCAAGATAATTTCGCTCTTCTTCTTGTTAAATAGCAAAACTTTAAAAATATATATTCAGTTCTTCCCACTCATAGTAACTGGCATACTTTTCGTTACACATTTCTCGGAAAGGAGAGAAAGAGACAACTGCCTGCGTAAGATGTTGTTAGTGCCACAAAATTTACAGACAAAAGTAATTGATGTTTTAACTCGGTTCGGAAAATATTGCGTCGATGTCATTCAAAAACATTTTATGCTCTTTAAAATTTGGTTAGGAAGTTCATATGAATATTAATATGACAATATAATTGATCAAACACAGAAATAAGTACAAATTTTCTAGTATAACGTCAAACATACCGAGTACATCATAATGAATTCTTTTTAACGAGTTCTTTTTAGTGAGTACTTTTTCGACTAACCTTGTCCATAACTTTTATTTACATATATTTTGAGAAAACAAAGTTTGGTGTTAGATGCGCAGTCGTAAACTCGCGAAAATAAATTAATCAAATAAAAATAAAATAGGTGAATAAAGGAATAACGGTAAGAATAATGAACAAGCGAACTTTTCAAAACGAAATGGACGAAAAAATAATGGAAAACCAAAGACAGGTTGAAAGCCGCTTGGATGTACTTGATCATCGCATTGATGCTATGGAAAAGATTTTGTGTGAAGATATGGGTTAAATAAATAGATATTGGATTTATTTGCAAGTAATTTATTCCATTTCAGATGGCTAACAGCAATGGGTTGCGCGCTGGGCTTGGGACCCGCCACGTAAAAACCACTTCCAGTGAAGAAGCAAGGCAAAGCCTTGGATGAGACCGCCCCCCCCTCTTATGATGACGACCACGGCAAACGTTTGAAGGACTACGATTTAAGGGCATGCACCTGGAATATCCGGACCCTTAATGGCGAAGGTGCCTCTGCCCGGCTGGTTGATGTCCTCGTAAGGACAAAAGCTGACATCACCGCCATCCAAGAAATGCGTTGGACGGGGCAAGGCAAACAATGTCTGGGGCCTTGCGACGCCTACTACAGCTGCCATGTAAAGGAGCGCAAATTCGGAGTTGGATTTGTGGTGGGAGAGAGATTCCGTCGCCGAGTACTGTCGTTCACCCCGGTGGACGAGCGTCTAGCCACAATCCGCATCAAAGCGAGATTCTTCAACATCTCGCTCATCTGCGCCCATGCCCCGACGGAAGAGAAGGATGAGGCATCCAAGGATCTCTTCTATGAGCGCTTGGAGCGCACGTACGAGCACTGCCTCCGTCATGATATTAAAATCGTGCTTGGCGACTTCAATGCCAGGGTGGGCAAGGAAGGGATCTTTAGAGCCACCGTCGGAAAATTCAGCCTCCACGGCGAAACGTCCGACAACGGATTGAGGCTGATCGACTTCGCCGGGGCCCGAAACTTGGTAGTATGCAGTACTAGGTTCAAGCATAAAAAGATCCATCAAGCTACGTGGCTGTCTCCGGATCGAAAAACGAGAAACCAAATCGATCATGTTGTGATAGACGGAAGGCACGCTTCCAGTGTTTTAGACGTACGCACACTCCGAGGCCCAAACATCGACTCGAACCACTATCTTGTTGCAGCCAAGATACGCACCCGCCTCTGTGCAGCAAAAAAGGTGCGTCCAAATATGCAAGGAAAGCTTAACGTTGAAAAGCTGCAATCACAACAGACAGCCAGCGCTTTCGCTACTCGACTCTCACACCTGCTCTCAGAGAGCACTCTTCAACAAACCGACATATGCGAGCAGTGGAACCACATTTCCCGCTCATTAAGTACCGCCGCCGAAGAAGTAGTTGGATTTCAGCAAGCCCGAAAGAACAACTGGTACGATGAGGAGTGTCAGGAAGCTGCAGAGAAAAAAGATGCCGCCTACAGGGCCACGCTGCGATCGGGCGTAACGCGCGCTATGTGGGACCGCTATAGGGATCTGAAGAGGGAAGCGAGACGTATTTGCCGCAATAAGAAGAGAGAGGCCGAAATACGTGAGTGCGAAGAGCTTGCAATGCTGGCCGACAGGAGGAATGCCCGAAAATTTTACCAGAGAGTTAGGCGACTTACGGAAGGTTTAAAGACCGGGGCGCACTCCTGTAAAGATAAATTGTAAAGGATAAGAGCACATGCCAAAAAACAGGTGATCTCAGCTGTAGGCATTTTTTGGCAATCAGCTGATAGTGTTTTTACTTATGAAACTGTACGATGGTTCGAGTTTACCTCGTTAATTTCAGTCCTTGAAAATCGCGGATTGACGGTGGACTGACACGCACAATATAGTATGTTCCAATAGCAATCCGGTTTACAGGATATAGGGCGTGTGTGAATCGGTAACAAAGTTCTATGGGGAAAGCTGTTGAATAGTATTTTTACTATGGTGAGACAGTTTTGAAAATCTGCTGTGTGAAATTAAATCTTTTTAGACGGCAGTAAATTTTTGATAACCGGAGATTTATGTGGAATAAAATATTACAAATTGAAGTGAAATTAATATTATAAGAAAACATCTACCATCGTTGATTGCAATTCATCAATTTAAGCTTTTACCGATTCACACACGCGCTTAGTCAGAATTTACAGGAAGTCGTTCCTATTCGCATAAAACCTGTAAGTGGGAACACTTTGAAGAGAGTAACTGAGAAACTGTTCCTAGTCAGAAGTAACAGAATTTAGACCGGAGTTTTTTTCTGTAAGTTCATGAAAAGTTAGTCTGTTCCTTTGAACTTCGGACTAAAACCTGTGGAACTGTCAAACTACAATTTTACTCTCTCAACTGAGAGTAAAAGGAGAACAGATGCCGAAGTGCACGGGAACGCAAAAAGCACTATTTCCTGTAAAAACGTCAGACGGTCGTTTACATGTCATTGGTACTACACTGATTTGGCTGAAATATCACTAAATAATTATTAAAACAAAGTTGAATGGCTAAATTGTGGCTGGCTACCAAGCCTTTCAACTAATCGCTTTCAACAAACTTGGTAGCCAGCCAAAATTTAGCCATTCAACTTTTTTTTCGTGCAACCCTGCGTTGAGCTGAACGCAAAGTTGAACAATGCAAACACTGCTTTGCTCTCACTTGAGAGTAAAATTGTAGTTGGACACACAGGGCGTGTGTGAATCGGTAGCAAAGTTCTATGGGGAAAGCTGTTGAATAATATTTGTACTATGGTGAGACAGTTTTGCCAATCTGCTGTGTGAAATGAAATCTTTTTTGGCAGCAGTAAATTTTTCATAACCGCAGATTTATGCGCAATAAACTATTACAAATTTAGTGAAATTAATATTTTAAGAAAACATCTACCATCATTGATTGCAGTTCATCAACTTAAGCTTTTATTTTACGAAAAATTACACACAGCAGCAATCTTTGCAATTGTCAAAATTTTCTATGCATTTGTCAAAAATTTCACTAGCCCTATGGGCTACTGAAATTTTATTCACCTCAAACTTGTCAAAAATTTACTTGCCGCGAACTTTGTTACCGATTCACACACGCTCACAATATAACCAGTAAACAACCTTGGGTGAATGTGGCGAATGCCTTCCTCGAGGATGAATATGCCATTGATGAAATTATTGGTACACAGACTTTCTAAGCACGCAGAGTTGCTTTTGTGAAACAAAAAATAATTAGCTCAAAATAGTTTCAAAAATTATAGTGTAAAACAAAATTTATTGAATAATTCTACATAAAATTGTAAATGACTTACCATGTAAACTATTGGAGTAAAACTTGTTTCATTACCGTTTTTGTGCAAAATGAAAACGACTATCTGAACGTTCGAAGCGCTGCAATGAGCAACTACAGAAAAAATACTGCTCTGGTGTTACTGCTGCCGTGGTGAATATATGTTTCTATTTATTTTTCTTCTGTTTACGCGAAAAACAATGCAGGTAGTAATTTTCACTGAATTTCTTCAAGAATCGATACATTTTATGCTATTTTTATAATTCCTCGAATTTTATGTATTAGCAAGAACAAGGAATATGGCTGAGGTAGGCTTAAACATCTTGGCGATGGGCTGTTTACCTGCTGGCAAGGCGTATTTAACAAGGTGGTGTTGGCCGTATATAAGTAAAAAATTACACTAACAAATTATACGCTGATGTCCATACTGTCGGTGGTATGAGTTACAACAAACACATCATTTTGACGTAATGGCCTCCACGGCGAAAAACTCAGCTGTCGCCCCAACACCACCTTGTTTAATACACCATGCCTGCTGGATACTTGCAATCTCATTTGTAAAAGTATACGAAATATTTCTTTTTGAGTGAATTTAAAACTAAAGGAATAAACTGCTTAAGATTTCGGGCAGCTGTTTCTCGCAAGTTCAAGTGTACGAAGATCGCTGAGGGTCAATGGGAAAGCCTTTTGGATAATTGAACCGAAATTTCTGCAACATGAATTAACATGAACCAATGCCATAAGTCTCTGGTGATGACCATGACTTTGTTGTGGAAATAATATGTACATATATTATAATACAATTGAAATTATACCTCACTTGATTTTTGTTATATAGCGGACCTGTTTAAATTCTTATTGAGGGCCTGTGCCAATTAATAGAAAAGTACTCGGGATGGTAAATTTTTGATAACTATGGGGTGAATGAAAATTTCCAAGCCGAGCAAGAATCACACCTGCCTGACGGTTTTGAAGTGGTTTTGGTTTAATAAACGAATGGCTTTCAGTTCTAGAAGAATTAAAGTCAGTAAAGACATATTTTTTTTACATAATTTCTGCATTTTAATTGCTAAACACTTTTGCACCAGAGCAACTGTTCAAAATTTCCAGCAGTAAAAAGTTACGAATTGGCACCGCAGAAATGTATTAGTTTCTTACCATAGTAAAAAGTTTTTTCACCATAGCACTTTTCTACTCATTTGCACTGGCCCAGAGTAATACAATGTTTTAAATGAAAAAATAATAACTTCTTCATCACTTTCTTAAAATTTTAAAGCTTGTTTACTAATTTCTTTAGTTATTAGAGCATTATAATATCATTTTACTAATTTATTATTGCCTAGTACTAAATGTAAACATTTACTTACCAAATCTTTATTTGATTCGGTGATAGAAACAAGACCGAAGGATACTTAAGCATTTATATATTTAATATGTTTATTTTAAATTGCTGTACATAATTTTCTAGATTTTAGCATTCATATTTTGGATTCAACTTATTCATTCCTTTAATTACTACACCATTTATAATTTTCTTGTAATAAGATCATGATTTTCAAATGCTTAAATTTATTTATCTAATAATAAAGCAGCACACAACCCTGAAATCTAAGAAAAATTCAGAGGAAGGCCATTAAATAACAGCACACAACCCAGTGTCTTTCTCAAGAGTGAATATAGCTCCAACAACAACGATTACTAAAACAACAACCCAAAAAGGTTGGCTACTGTCTATACTGTGGTTGGACAGTTCCACAGGTTTTAGTCCGAAGCTCAAAGGAACAGACTAATAGACAACCTGTCTGATCCTGAGATTCGCCTGAAAAAAAATTCACCCGAAAATTTGTCATCCGCCCATAGTAAAAAAATATGGAAACCAAAAGTGAAAAGTGAACCGGTGCGGGGAAAATGAAACTCATGATAAGGCTCAACATGTTTGTATTTCGTTTCCCTCCACGGTGGAGAGAATACAGAAGGTGGCGCCGATGGCAACACCGTTAATCGGCTCTCAGTGAATTTGACAGAATCAGCTGTTTTGCAGACGTCACAGTCTAGATGACAGCAGTAGTGATGTGCTGAGTTAATACTTTTAAGTATTAATCCATATTCGGCACCGATTAAAAAAGTATCCAATGGTCCCGATACTCGGTACCGAAACATTTAGGTTTGGAATAAAAGCGCACATAGGCCAAAAATATGGAAAAAACGGTTCAGGGGAGACTCGCCTATCAAAACCCCAATGAAAGAGCCAATAGAGCTTTTAATAATGATTCAAATGAAAGATGTCGGTTCGAGGTTCGATAATACAGAGAAACTCTTGTTTGAAGCATTTTGGTTCCAGCTGAATCGGACGATACAAAGAGCTTAAATCTATAAGAGGAGACAACACGTTATAATTTTAGCGAGTGTGCACATCAGGAGCGTGCCTTCGCTTTTCAAACAATCGGAAAACGTATTTGGGCAAAAGAGAAAGCACGCTCCTGATGTTTCCACTCGTTACAATTATTACGTGTTGTCTCTTCTTATAGATTTACATCCCTATTCTAATAAAACCTCACAACTGAGTTGTGAGCAAAACTTTGAGAGATTTCTTGTGAGGTGTATTTTGTGAGGTTATTCTAGCCCACACCTCGCAAGAAAAGAGCTCCACAAAATCACCACACGAGGGGAAAACCATTTTGCTGTCTAACAGCGGTTTCGTAAACAAAATAATTACAAAAGATGGATGCTGAACAACAGGAAAAGTAAATATTTATGCAATTTGTTTATTTTTTTGATAACTACTGATTTTATTTATTTTCTAGGCGAATTTAAAAAGAAATAACAAAGCAGGAGTAGTTCCAGTACTTCACACAGTTTGCAATCCACAACTTGGAGCAAAAGTTTGTATGGAAATGAAATCCTATGCCTGCTCTAACTCTTCCGAAAAAAAAAACTTAACACAGACACTAATAGCGAACGAAAATTAACAAAACATTATTCCGTTGCTCAATAAAAATCGGCTGTTTTTCTCTTGTGAGGGTCTCATTCGTACATCATAAATTTCCTGACAATTGTGAGCGTATGAGCTTTTAAATTTACGCCAGCATAGGGATAACCTCACAATAGTCAGAAACCTCACAATAGTGAGTATGGTGATTTTTGTGAGGGCAACAGAATAGGGCTGTTATGTTCTTTGGACGATATCATTTTTGTAGGTCTGGGGGCAGATTCTGTAACAAGTTAGCGACACTTTTCGAATCGGTGTCGGTTTTGTTGACGCATGATATGAAATATTTTTACGTCAACAAGTGCGACATCGATTCGAAACTTGTCGCTAACTGGTTACAGAATCTCCCCCCTGAAAGGCTTCTTCATCCGCCAAAGCATTTTTCTTGAACCTTGGATCGACTAAGGTTAAAACTGATAAAATAATATTTCTCTGTTGCTTTAAGTTCAAGTGTTTTAGCCGATATCATATACACTTAGGTCTCTTTTTTATGCGGATTTTTTTTGTACGTATTTGAATTTATGCGGTTTTTCAAACCATTTCGCGTTTATATACCAAATAAGCAAAAATTTACAACCAAAATTTGGAGGTTATGTTGAAGTTGACAGAGGTTACCATTTTTTACTAGAAAGCGATCCCGTACTTTTCAACGTTACAGCTCTATTCTGTTGCCCTCACAAACATCGCCACACTCACTATTGTGAGGTTTCTGACTATTGTGAGGTTATCCCTATGCTGGCGTGAATTCGAAAGCTCAAACGCTCACAATTGTCAGAAAATTTATGATGTACGAATGAGACGCTCACAAGGGAAAAACAGCCGATTTTTATTGAGCAATTGAATAATGTTTTATTAATTTTCATTCGCTATCAGTGTCTGTGTTAATTTTTTTTTAAACTAAAAGTATATTCAGTAATGTCGGAGTTATTGTTTGTTTTTACGGCAGTTTCGGAAGAGTTAGATCAGGCATAGGATTTAATTTCCATACAAACTTTTGCACCAAGTTGTGGATTCCAAACTGTGTGAAGTACTGGAGCTACTCCTGCTTTGTTATTACTTTTTAAATTCGTCTAGAATATAAATAAAATCAGTAATTATCAAAAAAATAAACAAATAGCAAAAATATTTACTTTTCCTGTTGTTCAGCATCCATCTTTTTTATTTATTTAATTTACGAAACAGCTGTTAGACAGTAAAAAGCTTTTCACCTCGTGTGGTAATTTTGTTGACCTTTTTTCTTATGAGGTGTGGGCAAGAATAACCTCACAAAATAGACCTCACAATAAATCTCACAAATTTTTGCTCACAACTCAGTTGTGAGGTTTTATTAGAATAGGGCTGAAAGTCACAGGTAAGCAAATATTGCCACTGCTACTACGTACATGTTTGTGAGTAATCTTGGTATTCATGATAAAAACATAGCAAGGTATAACCGTTCTCTCAATTTGTCGGCCATGATTTTTTTTGAAGTTTGCCAACATTTTAAAATCATATAAAAGTAAAAATAAAAAATTGAAATTGTTCGAAATTGTTGTTGCTTGATATTGAAAATGAAAATGTGTGTGTGAGTTTGTGAGTAAATTTAAAAATTAAATTGTTTGGAAACGTCAAGAATCTTAAAAGTGACTCTCAGCGGTTCTACCTTACTATATTTGTATCATGGTGGTATTAGCTACGAAATCTACGATAGAACCCCTTTTGCTACTTCTCTGTTTTTACGTTCTGTGTCTGAACAGATGACTATTGGCATTTGAGGACTGTCAAAAATATGTTAAAATTTCTAATGTCATTCTCAGCTATTGTAGAAAAACTTGAAGTTTAAAGGCAGAAGTAGAAACAATAAATAAATTAGTTATACTGTAATAATATATGAGATGATTTGCAAACACAAAGTGGGTCGAGGCATTCGCTAATAAAAATTAATAACGAGCAAAAATAAGGACTGATACGAGTCTGCAGCAGGCGAGATTAAGTGGTCTTGATTTCATACAAGCCCTAAACTTTTACGAAAGAAATATGTTTGGTTTCGATGGCGATTACCGCAGAAGACCGGTACAAAGTTTAGGAGGTGCCTCCCAAAGCTCTGACCGCGAGACTATTATACGTAAGGCCCAACATGAACGGCAAAAGCGAAATGAGATGCGTCTACAAAACAATGGTGCTGTGGTACTACAATCGCACACACGTTCTTTCATTCATCGCCAACGTCGCAAGCGGCTGGAGCGTGAACTATTTGATGATTTCCTGCGAACGCATCGCGAACGTGTTGTGGATGATGACTGTTTATCCTACTTACTAAGACGGCTTCTATTCTTTTATACTAGCAGAGAAACCAAAGATGGTAAACGATTGGTACGTATGAAATATTTCTGTATGGGATTTACCCATAAAATCGTATAGCTTATAAAATGTTGTTCCTAAAAAGAACTGCATAAACATTTTTTCATAAAATTTTAGATTGATGTTTGTCAGCACATATTGCGTCAGCCTGAACGTCTACTTCGAAATTCTAGCACAGAGTTCATTTGGCTACACCGACTAAAGAAACTGCTCGACATTTGCATGACACAAATGACACTGCCAAATACTTCTCCCGCTATACCACTTCGTATATTAGAGGTCTTCACATCAACTGCAGTTCTGGATAGATATATGGAGGATGAGGATCGTGTACATGCATACTTGCTTGTAATTTTCAGTTTTCTGGTGAAGCATGAGTACTTTGTACGTCTTCGAGAGTTATTGGAGACAAAATGTCCCCCATTGGATGGCGAGACCTTACACGCACCGAGCCCATTTGCTGATGCTATCTTCCAACTTATGTTGCGTCCTTTGCTGCTGAAGAACAAAATACCGGTTATATACGAAGAATTTAGTAAACATATTTTGGCTAAACCGTTTAGCGATCCAATACGAAATTATGTGTTGCCTTCCATGGCAGAGTGTTCTGATTTTCCATTTTATCAGTTAATACAAATGTTACAGCATTTAATATGCTCCCAAAAGTCAGAAGAAATGCAAGTAGATATAACTTCTGGAACTACTTCATCGCCTTCGACCATTACTGGCGCGTCCTCATTGCCTCATCGCGCAACGGCTCAATCTACACTTACAGGAGAAAATCTAGAAACGCAGCACTCTGAGTTATTCAGTAGCTACCTTTTTAATGCAATTTTAATACTTGACCGCAAACACATAGGTAAGCTCCAGATTACTACTTTATTTATGTAACATATCGTCTTATTTCTGCGTTACTCCAATTTCTGCATGGGAGTCCTTTAAGCTAAAAATTTTCAGACTAAACGTTTTTCAGTTCTCTGCTGTTCTAATAAAGCTATGGAGTAACTAACAGTAAACAAATGTTATTGAGTACCCAAATTTTTCAACATGATGTTGAAACTTTTGTTATTAAGTAGTCTGATTGTTTTCTCACAAATTCGAGCTACATGTAGGGGATGGACATATGGTCCTAAGCGTCGTATTCTGTTAGTCTTAGAACTTATCAACTTTAAGTAAGGCGATTTGTATCTACACCAAAGGGTTTTTAAACCTCTGGAAAATATTTATCTCGGTCCTACAAAAAAAAATAATATAAAAAAAAATTTTAATATACAACGCTTTTATAAATGGACTAAAAATTAGAAAATAATATTTCTCAGTCCCACAGAATTTGTTTTGATAACTTTTTATTTTGAAATTTTTAGCAAAAGTCATAAACAATTTATGAGATTGAAAATGAAAAGCGTGGGGTGCATGCAATACAAAGCCAGAGCAGAGAACGTTTATAAATGAGAAGGCGCATTTCCAGTATGAGCTTTTTGCCATCAAAAATTTTGAGGTGCGGACTACGAAATGCACCACTCGTCGACGGAATGTTGGCTGCCACCACGGCAAAGATTTTCAATTCCTCCACACTTCGACGAAATTGTGAAAAGCAAAATGCAAATTAAAAACGAAAATGAAAAGAGAAACAAAAAACTGATCAGCACTAGGCAGAGGGGGTGCTTGCGGAGGCAGGCGCGTGCTTGTGTCGGATCAAGACAAACTCTAAGATAAAAATGAAAGTCAGAACGACAAGTGTAGACAACAAGCGGGAGACGGGAAAGGAGCGGGTTTTTTTACATTTGCTTGCTTGCCGAAAATATGATATTTGCGTGAAATCGATTTGCTGATTGCAAATTGATTTTTGCAAACATGTATGCATTTTTCTATTTCAGCTAAGTTGATAAGATTTTCTAAGGTAATTTTTTTTGACTTTTTTCCGCATATGCGAATAACGAATGCGAATGCAAATATTCGCAACATCCCTGGTATGTATTGTGTACGTGAAGTCCGTTTTTGTGTATGTGTTGTGTATGTGTTTATTTATAAACATATGTGTTCCTTTTCTTTTGTACGGTTTTATTGATATATCTGTAGAGTAATGTTTTCGGAAGGTACTAGCTCTTACTGCCAATATAGGAGTACTAGTTAACCCGCATGGCGCCAAAACGCCAACATTTAATTAAATTTTTTAAACAGGTGAAACCCTATTCAAAAACCTCTAAAAATATTCCTAATGATTAATCTAAACCATTTCTCAGTGATGAGAGGTCTCGCATGGTGTCGGTTTTCATTTCATCAAATTTCAAATCTCTCTGTAACTTCAAAATATGAAACCTGTGCACATCTAATGTAGAATCCCAGTTCTTTAATTTGACTTCTCATTTTGGAAATTCGAAATAACGGTGCAGATGTGATGACCTTCAAAATAAAAAAATAGATGGCAACTCTAATTAAAAATATTATCAGCCTATAACTTTCTTAAAACTCTTTCGTTTGACGCTAATATTTCGATAATTCATTTATGTATCTTTCGTATAAGTAAAACAAATTCGACTTTTCAAACAGGTGGCAACCTCCTTAAAGGTATTTTCAAACTAAAAACTTTCGCCTGGCATTGTTATACATATTTCAATTAACCGATGAATTAAGTTGAATTTAATTTTTTAAGAACATGGCAACTCTCGTAAATACAGTTTAGAAAGAAACTGTTTTCAAACCCATTTCGATTGATACCCATCTTTTGACAATCCATTTAACCTATTAAATAATTTGAGCTTAATTTTTTCACCAAAAAAAACCAAATTTTCAATTGAAAGATTTCTTACCACTCGTTCTTTTGATAACCATATTTTAAAATTTCATGTAGATTCCACATCCAAAACAGGCGGCAACCCTCTTAAAAATTATTTTCGAACTAAAATTTTCTTAAATATTTTTCGCCTAACATTGTTATAAATATTTCAAGTAACTGTTGAATTAAGTAGAAATTCATTTTTTAAACAAGTGGCAACCCTCGTAAATATAGTTCTTAAATAAAGGAGTTTAAACCCTCAAACACATCAAAAATGTTCTAAATTGTCAAACTAAGTATTTCTTGAAGCTCTTTCATTTGACATCCATCGTTAATATTTCATATAACTTGGGTATAAAATAGTTCAATTAAACTTCTCAAATAGGTGGCAACCCTATTCAAAATATTTTCAAACTACTACCTTTTTAAACCTCTTTTGTATGACACCCATATAGCGATACCTTATTCATCTACTAAATTCCTTTAATTAAAATTGAATTACATTTTTTAACATGTGGCAACCCTCCTATACGTAGTTAAGTTATAAAGCCTTTTCAAAACCATTTCGATTGATACCCATAATTAATAATTAATTTAACTTTTTAATTAATTTGAGCTTAATTTCTTAACAGGTGGCAACTTTTTTCGAAAAAGTAAAACCTTCCTGAACATCTACACCCTAAGCCCTTTAATTTGGCACCTCAGTTTTGAAAATCGAACGGACGGTGCGGATCTGAGGGCTTAATTAGTAAATAACTTGAGTTTAATTATTTAACAAGTGGCAACTCTTTTTGAAAAAATAAAACCTTATTGCACATCTACAGGCCAAGCGCTTTAATTTGACACCCCATTTTTGAGAATCGAACGAACGGTGCAGATCTTGTATGCTGCACAAAAAATGCCTTCGCGTATTATATATATAGATATAGATTACATATATGCATGCGCCCCACGTTTTCATTTTCAATCTCATAAATTGTTTATAATTACTTTTGCTAAAATTTCAAAATCAAAAGTCCATTTATAAAATCACGCATATTAATTTTTTTAATTTCATTTATTTTCTACTTATTAGTCTTGTCTGTATAAAATTTTGCAACAGATATTAAAATAATTCAACGATATTAATAGATTGATGCACACACATGCATATACATATGTATGTACCTCGTCGGTTGAGAGGTAGATGTCGCCCTATGCACTAGACTTTTTATAGGAACTTTGCAAAGCAAAGGTTTTATAGCTAAAAATGGTGTCTGGACACACAATATTGCAAGTTGATAAAAGCGTTGTAATAAAAATCACGAAAAGTATCCGAAAGCAAACTTAGTTTAGGTTGTGGTTAGGGTCGAGAATTTTCGTTATTTTCGGACTTGATGCACGTATCTATTAACTGCGTGTCCACTTTTCATCCGATTTTAAAAATCAAACATGTTTTGCAAAGGCAATTTATAGACCTTTATTTGTACAGCAATATATTGTTAGACTTGGCTTGTTGAGAGTTTTCCAGAGACCATAACGATTATAAGAAATAAAATTAAATATTTCTGTATAATTATTACTGAACAATGGAAAAGTTGTTTTCGTCCCGCGGGACGATTATTTTAAGATGTACATTATTTTCGTCTTCTCATAATAATTATATGGGACTTTTATTCTTTTTCGCCTCGCGGCATATTTATTTCAAGACGGAAATTATTTACGTCTTCTCATAATAATTATATGGTATTTTTATATTTTTCATCTCTCGGGACGTTTACTCCAAGACGAAAATTATTTAGTCTTCTCATAATAATTATACGGCATTTTTATTTTTTTTTTGTCTCTATGATTTCCTCGTCTCATAATAATTATATGTGATTTTTTTTCGTCTCGCGTAGGGTTGCCAGATTTTGAAACGGAGAAAGGAGTACATTTATATTTTCGATAGAAAAAAAGCAGTACATGACACAAAAAAGGAGTACAATTTTTTTTTAAATTTTTTGTGCAATTTATTGTTACAAATTACCATTAATTAGGTACAAACAAACAAAGATATCTTACAAATCTTTTTCAAAGCAACAATAAATGTGAAAAATAAATAACTATATGGGTTGGCTTTCCAATAGGGACGGTTGTTAAAGAGACGGTGATCGAAGGGGGAGTGGACGTGGCACCTTTTCCGACCTTTTTGGAGAGGGCATTTACAAAAATTTTACTCCCGACCACCCAGGGCCCTATGGTTCCCCAGGGACTCCTTAGAAAAATTGCTAAAAGTCACAATTTCCACTTGCGTCCACAGTATTTTTGCGTAGAATTCGGTTCTCAATGACCGCCCTTATAGGGAAGTTTCCCCAACTAAAAAACTAAAAACTACAAAAGAATTCCAGACTCTTCCTGAATGTATGGCCATTTTTTTAATTTAAGCCTTATAATTAATTTAATATTTTGCTGATTTATATACCCGAGCGCCCTGCCCCTAAGGCCATGCTTACACCTTTTCACTATCACACTTAACTTTGCTTACTAAGTAGTGTTTGCCACAATATGAATGGCAACGTCCAGCGCGTAAAATAATAACTGTCGCACAGGTTTTTTGAAAAATAAAAGAGTTTTTTTTTATAGATTTTGTGTTTTTTTGTGTTAACTTTGTAAATATTTTACTTTAATTTTATTAATTGGTTTTAAAATTTTAATCCTGATTTGCATTTGCCAGCTTTGGGAGATAAGTACATGCGGCACGAACCTCTTTTTAAGGTTTATTTTTTCTTAGATTTTGTAGTCACCAGTTTCGAATCTTTTCGATTGCTGAGTATGAGGCCTTATGTTGGACAAAAGGCGGAGTATAAAGGACCCAAGGGGAAATAAGCCTATGGTTACAGAATATATGTAATAAAGTAACCGACGAAGACTTGCGCTTTTCTCCCAAACCCCCTGGTAAACCCAAATGAAGGTTAAATTTAAAGACTATACATTAACTACTTTTTTTACTTGCGCTTTTCTCTCAAAGTGTTTACCGCCGGTAAACCCAAATGAGGGTTGAAATTTAAAAACAAATTAATAAATTTGAAGTAAAATCTGTGGATAATTTATTTTTCAAAAAA